CGGTCGATTATTCAGAGTTTTGCAATCTATTCAGCGATAACAATTATATTTGGCTCGAGTGCGATAGGGCTCGATATCATTTGCAATGCTGGCACACGGTTTCTGCAATGGTGTGGCATAGTTTTTCCAGAGTATGTGTATTTTATGGCCGTTGTTATTTTTTGCAGAAGTTTCGGCTTTTCCGTGTGTTTTCTAGCCTGTCTGTTCCTTTGTCATAGTTTTATCGTAATATCCCAACAGGTGTCTGTCAGACGTCATTTAAAATCTCTTTTTTATCTCTTCAGCTAGGCTTACTGTTAGAATTGTTCACTTTTTTATTGTTGTGTGAATTTCGTCTTGAATGAATTAAAATCAAGTCGATTCGTCTCGTGTTTTTTCGTTTTGTGTTTTGTCTTCCGGGGGGGGCAAGAGTGAATAATTCGCAGTCAGTGCCGCCCAAGTTCTTCGTCGTCGTCCTCATACCTGGGTTGTAAATGTGTAAAGTTATTTTGGAGTCATCCTTCACCGTGTGGAACTTGGAGAAAGATAGAAGACGCAGAGGAGAGAAGGGCATGAGATGGAAAACGGATCATCATCATCTCTCCCACCCGGGAGCCATGAGAAGGCAGTTGTCTCGAGATTGTTAGAGAACGAAAGTCATTCAGTCTCCTGTGTCCTCCTGTCTTGTTCTTCTTCTTTCAATCACGGCAAGACGTTCGTTTTGATCTACACGTCATACAAACATGAGTATTCGGCTACCTCTATGTGCATCTATTGGTGTAGATGACCAGTATGATTTCCAAGGTTTGTGAAGCACTGCTGAGTGGGATTACCAAAAGAGACTCTGCAGTTGCATTGGGGTTATAAATTATCATAAATCAAAATTGGAAATTCTAGTATTGAAGAGAACAGATTCGCATTGGGATCGGGCTTAGTTATTCCCTAGTTGTTTTTTGACTATCCCTTGTATGCAAATACAGTAAAAAAAACGATAACAAACAAATCAGAAGACCCATGTGACGTGGCAATGTTGACCTAGTATCGCCATGATCACACAATCGATTTGTTATTTCTCCAGTTAATCCCCCCTCCAATCTTATCTTTTTTTTGTTAAGTATTGATTCTCTACAATAGTTTAATAACAATTTGTTCTGTCTTTGGGAGGGAAACATTCATCCAGTAGCCTTCCGTTTCCTTTTTCATTATCCCGTTTCCCTGTTTTACGCACTTTGACTTCTTCCCTCGCCCTCGACGTTTTATTGTTTCTTCTACCTTACTAAAAAATCTGTTAACACGATTTGTCTCCAGTCGAAACCATTTGTTTTCTTATCGTATCGCAAAAGTCGACCCGCATCCTAGACGCAATAGTAGTGTTGTCTTGATTATTCCTCGTTCTGCAAAGCACCGGCCACCCATTTCATAAATCATCTCTTCAAAATTGATCCGTCAATTTTGCCGTCTTGTCCACTCCGTCTTCGCCCATAGACTCTTCTTCTTCTTCGGAGAGCCCAGTGCCCATCCTTCTATCGACTCTACGTTTTGTTCTCTAAGTGTGTATATGTCACACCTGCAATTCTTATTCCATGTGTCCCCGACACCACATGTTGCTTCTTTATCTCTGCTTTTCCCACTTTTTCTTCATCCAATTTTCATCATTTCTTTTTTTTTTGGGTCAAATCACAAAGCCACTCAGACCTCAAAATTACTTTGGAATGTGCTATTTTTTTCTCGAGTTTTGATTTTTTAAGAAGAGGGACATGCAAATTAGTAGTTTTGACTTTTTTCTAAATATGAGGAGCATGCACGGGGTCGCAGGGTGTGCGGTTTTAAAAAAACACGTTTCGCTCTAAATTGGCAGGAATTCAAATTTTTAAATTTTTTTAAATGCCAAGTTGGCTGCGCAGCTATTTGAAAAAGTAGCTACGGAGTATTTTTTTTTTCACAACTTTTAATGAGAAAACGTGTCGCCCTTGTTTCTCAGCAGATAGTGTTCGAATAACCGAACACCCTGCGACTCCGTGGGCATGCAAATTAGTAGTTGCGAATTTTTTTCTCCTTATTGTGGAGCTACGCCCTTCAGAAATTCTCCTGTCTCCTGTATATTTTGAAACTTCCTCATATTTTTTCTTCCTATTGATCGAGTCTCTATTAGGGATGTCACAGAATTTTTGGTGATTCGAAAAAAAAAATTGGGAATCACAAATGGGGTTAGCAATGATTAGTCATTAAATCGTTTCTTAACATCATCAGCTATTCATCAAAGTTTTTGTTGTTTCTGAATCACCAAAGAACTATTATCGTGATTTTTCTTCCTATGAACTAGTCAAATCGCTCCACTTTTATTCGAAACCGGTCCAGTAGAAAGTTTCTACTAGAAACTTAGAATCCTAAGGAATATATTCCATATCCGATTTATCCAATCACCACTATAATAGAACCTGAGTCACTGCAGAACTCCCACAATGAATTTTTGATTTCTTTCACTATTTTCACACGAGTTTGATTCAATTTCGATTATATATGACTACATAATTAGTTAGGTAATACTCGACCCGCCTTTCTCATGAATTTCACACGACTATTGCTTGTTGTAGTCGTCGTGGAGACTTCCAAATAAATGTGGGGAATATGATATTGAATTGCTCTCATCTTCTCGGCACGACGTTGTTTCACACACACAAGCACTGGTTGTGTCATTTAGGTCGATGAGCAGAATGGTGCGGCACCACTCCAACGAAAACCGCCAAATGTGTCCGTATGTCTCAAAAGCGATTCCATTATGCAACGATGCATTGGAGAAGAAAACGAGAAGAAGAAGAAGAAGCGCATCCATTTTTCACTATCTTTGTGCTTCAGGGTTCCGATGACCTCTCGTATTTCATCCGAAAAAAGTATATTCCTGTTTCATCTCATCTTCAATTCAGCACTTAATTAGAATTCTCATCTTTTTTTCTTTTTTTTCCCATCATTTTCATAGGAGTTAAAATAAAATAGAAAGAGTAACAGAGGAAAAAAGAACATCAGTGTGTGGAGCAGCATTGAGCATGTGCGTGTGTGTCCTTCATGCTTTTGCCGCTATTTTACAAGTCTCCTCCGGGTGTTTTTTGGACGAGAAACACTGCAAAATGTTATGCGGGAGTGTATGTGTGAGAGAAGAGTAGGTCGAAGCAGAACGACTCAAGAATTTTCATTTCGGTTCAATTTTTCTCTTCCATATGTTCTTTGCGTACTTCGAGATTTTTTTTAGTGATACTTTGAAACTATCAAAAAGGGCATTAAAATTGTTCATCACTACAGTACCTTGTTAGCTTAGCAACCAGCAAACCATATCTTTTTAATGAACCATCTTCTTTCTCATAAATCATTAAAAGATTCTCTGGCGTTCTAGGAATAGTTCAAAGACATGTACGCCTTCAAATCCTAAATCATTTTTCATTCCTATAAAAACTCTGCTCCTTTTCATTGGTAATACCAATAATGACTTCCGAGAATAGAAACGGAAGTATCATTGCTGAGAAAAAGACACCAGAAGAGAAGGCTCTTTGCCAATATTGCGACACATAAAAGGGTCCTTTTTTTGTTTTCCAATTCCTCCACTACTCTTACCCAGACAGCACAGAATGAAGAATTCTATTGCTGACTTTTGCCGTCTTAGTTAATTTTAATACAATAAATTTGTGTTTTTTCAGAGTTCCGCTCCAAAATGAGCGATCAACTGAAATGCCTCGGAGATCGGACAGATGTGCAGATGAGTAGTCTTTCTGAACTACAAGACTACTTCAGGAAACGAGGAGAAATTGAGATAGAATACGCAAGCAAATTGGAGAAGCTGTCAAAAAGTATAGCTCAGAAGCACAAGTCAGAAAGGAGTCGTCGAGAAGGATGGCCTCAACACACATCCAGTACCGTATGGCATACACTGGTTGAGCAGACCAAAGAAGAGTACAAGAAACGACAATCTCTCGGAGAGCTGTATGGAAAACAAATTACTGCAAGTATAGAAGCTAGATGTGAGGATTTAGCAAAGATTTCGAAACGATGCAGAGAAATCGGATCATATTCGCACAATGAGTTGAATAGAGTTCTCACAGAACTGCAAACAGCCATGAAGACGTATCAGCTCTGTTATGCAGAAATGTGTGGAATTGAGAGGAAGAAGCGATCAGCAGAAGAAGACGTTAAAAAATACGAAGATTCTAATCCAGGAAAATATGAAGGATCCAGAAGGCATCGTGCGCTTGTGAAGCACTACAAAAGAAGGGATGAGAAGTATGAAGTTGTTCGACTGAAATGCACAAAAGCTAGAAATGAATACCTTCTCTGCGTCAAAGCTGCTAATGCTGCTCTTCATAGATTCTTCGCCCAAGATTTGTCCTATCTCATTGATTGCATGGATCTTGGAATGGATTTTTGGCTCCGCGCTCTTCTCGAAAAAGTTATTGATGAACGCAAAAAAATCACACAACACGAAATGGATTCACTTGCTTGTCTCAGTACTCTACGCTCTTCTGTTGATGTGAAAGCTGATAAACAGAAATTCTTCGAAGCCAATCATCAATTGTTCATGCTTCCAAAACAATTCGAATTCCGGCCGCAACTCGGAGACGATATTATGGAGGTATCAGCAGAGCAGAGTCTATCGGCTGATCTGCTCCAAAGACAACTTCAAATAGAGAAAAGATTGGAAGGACTGCAATTTGAAGTCGATGAAGTTTGGAAGTCTCTTGAAGCTTCCGAGAAGCAGCTTTTGCAACTCTACAACAGCCAATTTGATTGTGATGCTGGAAAATGGCGAAATGATTTGCATGTTACATATCAATACTATTTGAAGGTGAGCATTTTATTTTATGTTAAAACCGACATACAGGGTGGCCGATAATGATAGGACGTTTTTTTTGAGGGCTCCTTGGCCAGGCGCCAAGGAAAAATTGTGAAAACTTTCAAAACTAATAGAAAGTAGGGACCCTCTATAGGCAATGATTTATACCATTTCGTATCATTTTGCTTTTTGTTCGGATTTATGAAGACTTCTCCACACCAACCCACATCGCGAATTTACTCGAGAGGGGAGTGCACGTGTTGATGTGGCCAGAAGGCTTGGAATTTCCTCATAAAGTGTCTGAAATGTTTTTGAAAATATTCAAAAGGATCAAAGGAACCTATTAAAGCCAAAATGAAGACCACCATTAACTTTGAACATTCACCAGACTCAGGGGATCATCAAACTTCAAATTCGGCGAAAAAATGTGTTTTGACCTTGGTATTGCAAGGTCCAAAGTTCAAAAATCGTCAAATAGGATTAAACATTTGTAGTTACCGTGTCTACCATAAACTGTTCCTTCATACATCCGGGGCCTGCAGACGCGAAAAATGCAAAAAACTTTTTTCACACCACACCTGCGGCGACGTAAAGGGTTTCACAGACGAAACTCTTCCAAACCGTCGGGATCAGGAACAATTGTTACCAAAAGATGATAACAATTCTCCTGAACGTATTTTATCTTCAAATTGCCTTTTCCGTAAAAATGTCAAGGTTTGGGATAAAATCACGGCAACCAGTACCAATTTTTGATTTTTGGTAAAAATCGGCTCACAGGTCTACCAAATGACAGTTTTGATGCATAACTTGTTGCCCTGGGCCACTCAGAAGTTTGTTGGACATCTTTAATACAATCCGTAAGACTCAGTACCGTCTTGTGGATCGAAATCCACAATTGCGGTCTTAGACGCTCATTTTCCTAGAAAACTTGGCGACGATTGGAGGTCCTCTATCTTCACGGATTTCAATCCGATGGACTTCAATGTATAGAGACTTTTGGAGAGCAAGATCTCAGGAATCTCCTATAGCTTTTTGGACTTTCTGTGAAATCCATTTCAAAAGTTCTGGGGCGATATCGACGTCAACTACAGCCGCCGCACAGCCACATTTTTTATGATGCGTTTGGATGCTTCCGTCAAAGCTCGTGATTCTAATCATGATTACTTGTCATAAAACGAAAATTCATATATATTTTGAATATTTTGGAAAAGTTATTACAGTTAAAAAGCGTTTTTCTGAAAAATGGGAGACGGTTAGAAACGTCCTATCATTATCGTCCACCCTGTAATTTTGTTTTCCAGAAGTTTGAACATTTTCTTCTCAATGGCAATCTTATGGAACGGCTGGAGGCGAGAAGTACGTCCATAGGAGAAGCGCTGGCCAAGCATGGTATATCGTTGAAATCGGTATCCTTCGGTTCAACAAGTGAACGAAATGGATCTTTTTCAATTGAGAATGGAGCACAAAATCATTATTTGCTAGAAGAACGAAGAACTAAAGTGAAGAGAATAGGAGGAATCGTCGTTAAATCTCCAGATGACCGACCACGTCCAAAACTTTTTGGTGGCAGTCTGGATGAATATGTTGAAGCAACAGGCGAGGAGATTCCACTCCTTGTACAATCAGCAATCGCCTACCTTTCTCGATATTCGCTCCGTAATCAGGGACTCTTCCGTGTATCAGGATCGCAATCCGAAATCAACCGATTTAGAGAGGCCTACGAGAGAGGCGAAGACTTGTTCCAATATTTGGAGGATGGAAGTGATGCCAATTCAGCTGCTGGAGTGCTCAAACTTTATTTTCGAGAGCTGAGAGAGCCTCTATTCCCGATTTTCATGTTCGAGCAATTCTGTGATTGTGCTAAAGCCGAATCACCGTCAGATTTTGTCAGGAGATCACGAGAACTCATCTCGAAACTGCCTGTCTCTCATGTTCTCCTTCTACGTTTCTTATTTGCATTTCTCAGCCATCTGTGTGAATTCGCTGACGAAAATATGATGGAGCCACACAATTTAGCAATTTGCTTCGGTCCAACATTGCTACCGATTCCAGAGGGAAAGGATCAAGTTTTCTACCACAACTACGTCAATGAATTGGTTCGCAATCTGATAGTTCATGCGGATGATGTGTTCCCAAGAGATCTTCCTGGTCCAGTTTACGATAAATACGCAATGCAAAGATATATGAATGGAAATTTTATTGAGGAAAAGTAAGTTTCCATAAATATTGTGCTAGTATAAGCAACTTTTTTTTCAGCGACCTTGTTTCTGACGATGACGAAGCTCATGAAAAGATTTCGCTACCACAAAGTCGTCATATGATTGGTTCAACATACGAGTCAGCCGACCGCATTCTTCTTTCATCGCCAATTTTATCGCAAGCGAATACATCAACACCAAATGGAATTTCGCCATCCAATGGAGCTGGATCTTCGACACATAATGATATCGATTATGCTCCAGTTGCATCAAGTAGATCTTCAAATCGTTCAAAAGCAAGCGATTCGGTTGATATGGGTATAAGAAGTGAAATGCCTCATCGTATTGCAAACGAACTCAACAATATCTTCAAAAACAGTTCACTTTCATCTGATGGTAACAATGGAATCTCCGTACTCCGGCATTCCCATATTGAACCAAGTTGGAGTGATCGTCGCGAACATCACAATCTGAGATCTATGAGCACGGACCCTGACGAAGAACGAGAATATGTGTCTCCACCACCACCTCTTACATCTACTCAATACATGTCTGTTGCATCTTGCTCCATCAGCCCAGCGATCAAAAACGGCGCTGAGATCACAGAGAGACGAGATTCCAGAGAAGCGATGTATGCTCCAATGATAAAGCAAAGAGCGACGACGCTTCCAGCCAACAACGGGAGTACAACGGAAGTTAATGTAACAGGTGTTCGACCTGTTGGGAAGTCCTCGTTGAGAGATCAACTACAACTGATAAGAAAAGAGAATAGCACTGATTTGAAGCCATCAACGTAAGTAGCCAATCGAATCTCGACTCTATCAATTTTATACCTTCTAGGTCCCTGAATGGCTCGCTCAAAAAAACAGACACCGAAACGACGATTCTCGATGCAAGAAGCACTGACAAAAGCACAGAGTCATCCAGAAGAACGAGCCTAGAGGATGACAGAGGGTAAGTATCCGGTCTAGTTTTTGTTTTTCATATTCTTTATTTTCAGATCTGAAGCATTCTCTCAACCCGACATCATCAATTCTTCAAGACCACGTGGAAAATCGCCCACTCTGGATGATATTCTGAATTCATTGAAAGTTGCAACCAGTATCAGTCCATAATTTGAAAATTTGTCCATTCCCCAATTATATTTCCAATTTTTATCTTTCCCCCTCTCGTGTGCTTTAATACATTCACTCTTTCCATTTCCCTCACAGCATGTGTGCTAAGTACTCTCATAATAATTACTAATCCTCCATGAAAGCACGGGTACCTGCAAAGCACGCTACAAAGTCCAAATATTTCGCTCGTTTCAATTGTGTACATTTATCTGACCCCCCACATTTACATAATACATCTCAAACGGAATGAATGATATCTTAAAGAATTACCAAAAGAAAGTGTATCTATAAATATGTATAATAAACCTATTTTATCAAAGTTGTCTAATCGCAGAAAGATCATTGAAGTTGTCAGAAGCGAATAAAGTGATATTTTTCTCAGAAACAATTTTTATACATTCGAAGTAGCTAAATTGCAGAAAAAGTATGCAAAATGTGAGAATAGTATTAGCTATCGGTCTATTTCTTCCAGGAGTAGTTTGGACACAAAATGTGCATATCGAAAGGTTTGAACTCATTAATAGTAGAAAAATCGTCAAAAACGTAAAAAACATAATATTAAATTTGCTAGTATGCAAAAATCGAAGTTGAAAAAAATCTGGAAAAAATCTGGTGGCCGTGGCCGAAGGCCCCACGACGAAAACTACAGTAACCTAAAAATATTTTAATTTTCCGGATTTATTCATTTTTAATAATAATAATATATTTTATTTGAAATGCATGGGGGAAATAGATAGATAATTTGGCAAGAAATGGGAACTGTACAAATAAAAGAAGTAAAATGACCAAACGGACCGACTAGAGTCCTGTAGGTCAAGTGGGAGGGATCAGAATATCATAAGGAATCGCTCCTACTCGCTTAGCAAACGCCACCGGACCGAGCTTAGAATTTATCACCTTACATACACGGTTCCACATAGACAAGTTTCTGTGAAGGAAGCAGTCAAAGTATTGACCGTTGATTTTGAACAAATACGGGGCTCTGTTAGAATGGCTGGGAAGAATGTAGGACGACATAGAGGGAAAATGGTATGAGTTTATAACAATTTTGTGATAGGTACGAAGAACTAGAAGGGTGCGGCGATGAAGGGTGGTTAGCATAGAGAACTGGGATAGGCGATCGGTGTATGAATTGAAGGGCATATTACATCTCTGGAAGACTTTTCTGGTGAAATAACGAAGAGGAGATTCTAGTTTATTGGCAAGTGTGGCATTGGATGGATCGAAAAGTTCACAACCGTATTCGAGGACCGGTCTAATGTAGGTGTCGAAGAGACGGAAATATAAACAAGGGTTTTTCGATTGGAACGTTTTCAGTATTTGGCGGGACTTGAGTTTAGCAGAGTAGGCAATAAGATTGATGTGTTTGTCGAATTGAAGTTGATCATCAACTAGTATACCTTTTCTTTTTTTTTAATTGGTATTTATCGAGTTGACTGTTTGTTTTTCAAAAAAGTCGAAAAATTAAAAAATTAAAATTGGATATTGTGTGAAAAAATTGACTGAAAACTAACGAAAATCGAGATGATATATAAATATTAGGTTACCGTATTTGTCGTTATGGGACCCTCGGCCGGCCACGCCCACAAGTTTTTGTTTTTCACTGCTCCGATTGTTTCTGTACAAAAATAAATATCCCAAACTGTTTTTTTTTCTGAATTCAGTCTTTCAGACAGCCATGCAGAATGCCAGATTGCTTCGATTTTTCGCGGTGCTCATCATCCAAAAAACTATACATTCATCCAATGGAAAAACGTTTCGAAGACTCTCCACAATCACAGATTTATACTAAAATTCTAAAACATTATCAAGAAAGGTAAAATCATTCATGTGTTAATGCAAACGATATTAATTTTCACCATTTCAGTGATCATTACACCAATGATCCTAATGAAGCATGTATCTTTCTGCTCGGAATCGACACCACTGATCGAGATATCCGAAGGTTTTGAATTAAATTTTTTCATGGAAATCAATTATACAGTTACAGCCAGAACTATGTGAAAAACGTCCCAGATTACATTGATTCTCTAGATCCAGCTGTGTGGAATAATGGAAGAAATCATCTGATATTCAATTTCTATCACGGAACTTTTCCCGATTACGATGATCATAATTTGAATTTCGACACTGGAGAAGCAATGATTGCACGAGCGTCTTCTAGTGATAAAGTTGGACATTTTTCAGATAATTCCAAGTTGTGATAATTTTAGAATTTTCTCAAAGGATTCGACATTTCCTTGCCTTTGTTCCATGAAAACCATCCATTCCAGATTGAGTCACAAGTGAGTCGCTATTTTTAAAGCTGATTTTAAAGATTAAAAAATCTGACTTTTCCATTTTTTACATAAATTTCAAACGTTATTACACACTTGCCACTCCAAGAACCGTATTCTGAGATTTGAACTTTAATTATAGTAACCGTTTCTATCAGGGATATTCGAGGAATTCCGATTTTTCCGAGAAATGAAATTCAACCGAAATTTTCCGAAGTTTCTTTCCGGTATCAAATTCCTATCAAAATATTCTCTTTTTGTTTCATATTTAAAAACTTTTGGACTACTGTATGCCAAAGGCGCATGCACAAAGTCTGTTTGTGGGTTTCGAGCGGAATTACTTTTTTTCGTTTTCAAAGTCTGTTTGTCGATGTTTTGCGCTTTTGTGATAAAAAAATGGGACTTTTACTTTTAAATTTGAATGTTGTAAAATTACGAAGATTCCAAAATTTCGAAAATTTGCAAAATCGGAATATTCCCAATTCCGGAAAATTCCCTATATGGCCATTCAGAACATCCCTGGTTCCTATGTAATATTTTCTGTACGTTAGCTTCTATTATTTTAAGTCAAAATCAACGTCTACTTCTTCTTTTTCTCTTTTTTTGCCCATCTTTCGAAAATATACATGGAAGTACTTATTGCCGAGTTGTCTCTAGACGATGTATAGGGACATCGTTGCTCTCAATATATTCTTGGCTCTCCTGTTTTCTTCTTCTACTTCTTCTCCTTTTTTCTGCAACGGCGCCTGCTCTGGCCTCCATCTTACACAGAAATTTGAGCTTTTGTGTGTGTGTGTCGCCGCGTTGTTGGCGACAGCTTCCTGGCGGCAGAAGACGTCGACTCTTTGATGCTCGTTGTGCATGCCGTAGCAGGAGAAGGAAAAAGAAAAAGAAGAAGAGAAAGAGAAGAAGTGAAGTGGGCTAATTCCGAATAGAGGGAGAAAACAAATGAAAACGTGGCTTCACCATGTTCTTCTTCTTACAGCTTGATGAAGGACATGCGAAAAATAAGGGGAGCCGAAAGTATCTTGTGAGCTTCAAAGGAAAACGATACGTCTATGGTATTGGCTCAGGAACGAGGAATCTGGTTCATCATTTACATAATGGTGAGGACATCGTCATGGTGACCACGTGTAAACACAACAGCGACTGGCAGGTGGGGATTTCTTTTTTTGCAACTGGGGAACTAATTAGCATATTAAGGCAAATGCGATCCTGAAAAGACCTAAAAATCTGAACATTCTTGTTTTCAAAATTCGAAGTTTGTGGGACTAGAAACCTCTCAAATAGTAGGTTATCACAACCAGAAAGTATTGAACAAAACGGGAACTACCGTAATCTGATTACACGTTTTCAGGCCTACCAAGACGACAGGTGTCAAGGAGATAACAACGAGTATGACCGTTGGGAGTACGATGATCTACTTGCTAACTCAACGTTTTGTCTAGTGCCACGTGGAAGACGACTCGGATCTTTTAGGTACTCGTTTCCTTCTTCTCCTTCTCGTTACGCACCACCAGAATAATTCGCTTCAAAAAACACGATTAGTGTATGACTAGAGCAACGCTCGCAAGCTTTGTTGTCTTCCTATTCTGAGAGTGTCACACACGAAACACTCGTATACCATCTGGCAATCCCTTAGCAACGCCTGCGTACGGAAATTGGAAAGAAAGGAAGAAAAGGGGGATCAAGATAGAATGCATAGTTAGTTGAGTCGTGCGGAGGCTACCTATTCATGGGAAATAGAGTGACAAACTATAGAGTGAGCAATGAGAAAGAAGTCCCGGAGCTCTGGCCAGAGCAGCATACAAGGATAAATAAGAGGCAATAATCTACACAGTAGTTGTATCTGCGTAATCTTAATTTCATATATAGCCTTCTAGATGACTCTATTGAAACATGGGAATCTAAAATCATCTAATATAGCACGAGAAGCTCAAACACACTTTATTGTTTTAGGTTCCTCGAGACTCTTCGTTCCGGATGCATCCCAGTCGTTATTTCGGATTCATGGGTTCTTCCATTCTCGGAAACGACTGACTGGAACTCGGCAGTCATAGTTGTTGCCGAGCGTGACGCGCTTTCGGTGAGTCCACTACTACCACAGCCTTTTCTTTCGTTCTCTCCGGCGGCGCCTCCATCGACTGCCGGCGGCCCGGGGGCTACGTTTATCTTCTGCCTTTTCTCGTCGTCATCTTGGTGGTACAAAGAGAAGAGACACCCGTAGAAGAGCTAGCAGCAGCAGCATGCTCACATTCTCCATCTTCTTCGTTTCAGATTCCAGAATTGCTGATGTCAACGAGCCGACGGAGAGTGAAAGAGCTACGGGAATCGGCTCGGGAGGTCTACGATAGACACTTGAGGTCTATCCAAGTAATTAGCGATCATGTTCTGAAGGTTCGTGCAGATCTTTCGGAGAAGTTCTGATCCTGGCTATAAAATAAATCAGAATGATTATGAAAAACAACAACTGACAACATATTCATCCAGAAATAACATTAGAGACCGTCATGAGATAGTTTATTTGTCAAATGTTGATAAAAAGTATACGGTAGATGGGACATCTGCTAGATGTCTACTTTTTCCTTCTAAGTTTTTTATAAAAAAAAGAGATCGTAGTTGTACCATCACTCTACATTTCAATTTTGTTTCTATCTCGTTCTTAGCTGAAATCCTCATAACTTAGCTGGAATCCTCATAACGAGATGTTTGGGTTACTGTACTTCTGATTCCATTATCTCACCAAACTCCAAACCTACATTTGAAACAGAACACATCAAACTCATTAAACACCTGCACTCGGGAATACTGTTGCTGATTTAGTCCTAGATTCCAAAATGAATGGAAAATGTGCATCTATTAATTATCACCCATTTCAGATCATATCCAAAAGAATCGACGATCATTTCAAGCAGCAACACCGGTGACGTTCTCTCTATGTACATACACTCTCGTGATAATAAATGATCTCCTTCCAATCTGTTTATCTGTATTATTCCCAAAGGTTCATGTCCTCATCTTCATCCTCTTCACATCTACAACATCCTCATCCACCTCGAATTAGTCGGGTCCGGGGAAGGCGGAGTCGTCGAGGAGCGTCGGAGGCAAACACATATCCATCGTCATCCTCTTCTTCGTTTTCCATCTTCTCCTTCCTTGCTGCGATCGATGGTGATGAAGGAGACGGAAAAGACGAAGAGGGTGGCGTCTCCCTCCCCCGGTAGCCCCTCATCGCATCTGCTGTTGTGCGATGGCTGACTGCCTCTTCTTGGTCACTAGCTACCCACATCCATGCTATGTGTTCCGTTTTGTGTTTCAGGTTCGACAACCTGGGAAACTAGAACCGTTTCCAAGCGTTTGATCTACCTCTTGATCTAATTTAAGTTTTGCAAAACGTTTTGTTCTTCAGAATTTTAAACAGTTGAACAAAGGGAAGATCAGTCTTCCGGTTTTCCAAAACGTATCAACCGATCACTTTCTTATCTAGACATAGTTCTTTCCCTCGCTCACTATGTCTTCCTCGTTTTCAACATATGATGTCTGTTTTCTCTGTTCTGACTGACATCTTACTTCGTCGCATGTGACTCAGCATTGATCGGAGCAACAAGCACCAACAGCATTCGTCGGAGGCAACACCCGACAGCAGCAGCAGGTCGGTCGGTGTGAGTGTTGTGTGCCTCCTCGAAGGACTCGCTCTCGACGCTCACACAACTCGCTCTTCGCCGCACCACCAGCTAGGCAAGGAGAAGAGTGCGCGCAGCCAGCCTTTCCCCGACCGACCCGCCACCCGACCACTCTCTCCACATCCTTGCTTCTACTGCTGATGGCCGCGCACATTCGTTGCGCATTCATCGACGTCGACGTCGTCGTCGTCCTCTTCTTGGCAGCAGCAGCATCAACGACAACCAACGGCTTCTGCCTCTTTGCCACATAACTGGTCATGCTGAATTGAGATGCAACTCGTGCGCGCGCATTCAAACGTTTTCTCTTCCGTCGAAACGTTATCACCTTAACATGACTTTAACAAGATGCCAATCTGTACTCAATGTTTTTATATTTATTAGAATCGTAGTATCCCCAGGAGAGCTTCTGGAGATGTCGGTGTTATGCTGAATATATTTGTTTGTCAATCATATCATGCCATCGAATTGTGATGAGGAATTAACGCGCGCATAGCCGCATGCATAAAGCCTGATATTGATTTTGCTTCCAAGCCTTGTTGCGGCAGGTCATTACTCACGTTATCTTCATGACGATGATTCATATCCACGTTGATAACAATTCGAGCCATTTTCAATTTCAGAAACTCGTACACTGACCTCAGTGACCTTTCCGATTTGCGCACTGCCTTCTCCAGTCCGCTATCTCGGATACCGATTCGATCGGATCTTCTTTCCACCTACCACTTCCCCTTTTCTCATCGAGATTACCAATTATACTTTTCAGAAAAGAGAAGAATGTGATGGCGGTGGTTGCCGCATGGAAAGTGAACAGCATCATCATTCGATCCTCTCGTGCACACAATGATTTCTCTGCGTCTCGCATCTAGTTTCCAGTGCCAACAGTCGTTTACATTCGATAGCCTTCTTCCTTTCGTTCCTTCCATTTCCTCTCTTCAGACCTCTGTTCCGTCTTTCGATCTACTGATTTTTTCCGTTTGTAATTGATTATTTGTTCAAGTTTCGCCAGATTTTCAATTCTTCTGAACCTCAATTCTTACACAACTTCCTTATTACCTAAATTTTAATATTCAAATCATTCAATTTAATTTATTTTCCAGGAAGATGACCACAACTACAGAAATGAATCCGAGTCCGGTTCCAGAAAAGATTGAACGAGCTGATTCTCCAGAATCTGCTTCTGTGGAAAACTCGGCTCCCAAAGCTGCTGTTGGATTCGACACTGCTGATCAAAAACTTCGCGTGATTACTGCTGACGACATTGCAGATGCTGCGGAAAAAGGAGATCTCGTTGATGTGGATGGCCGCATGTTGACGATTTTGGAGTTCTGCGACTCCGTCGAGTCGGCTCGCGCTTCATGCGAGGAGCATGCCAACGGGGTGAGTGGAGGGGGATACTTAAAGAAAAGGGAAAACATAGTGGGTAAGAGAGAGTAGCGTAGAGATTAACATGCTACTGCTTTGCAGATGAACGGAATGGGTCTCTCGTCGATTAGGTACGAGCACGATGAAGACGACGATACGACCCAGGAGACGTCGACTTCCGGACTGGAAGATAAAGACGATGGAATGATTGAAATGGAAGATGCTGGATTGGGGATTGATAACCCTGCTGATGGAATTGGTGCACTCGATGCTTCCGCATTCGGTGGAGTTGCCTTCGGCGTTGTGGCCGAATTACGTGAGTCATGAGATATATCAACACAGCTAGGCAAACATCGGCATTGCAGAACAACAAATCGATGAAATGAAAAACACAATGAGAGATGCGATCGCCATCACAATGAATGACCTCCAGTTCGACATGGATCGTCTTCATCAAAAGCAGGAAAATCTCGTTCACTTATATCAGAAAATGCTCGGTACTGGGAGAGATGGACGTCTTATGGCACCATTCAGTGGTGAGTGCAGCTTACCTTCCATATCCTGATTCATATAATTTCAGAGAAATACCCATCCAAGCCATTTGATGGTTCTCATGTCTCTGCTCGTCCGACAGGCAAAAATCCAGAAGAAATCATAAATACCCACTTTTCGGATCTTGAGAAGATGTGGGCTAATCGGCAGGCTGAAAATGAGAACTATGTGAGAAATGAGCTTCTATCGAATCCACTTCTAATGGGTCCCAGAGCGAAACCAAAGATCTCCACAACTACTTCCGCCATCCCATCGTCCAGCAGCTCTACATCTAAACGCGTTGTGGATACAGCTGAGAATGGAGAACAAGAATACACTTTTGGAACAAATGGAACTCAAGGAAAACGAATTGTGAACGGAATTGTCAAGTCTGTCGAAAAGCTCAGTTATCCGTTTATCACTCGTGAAGAAGAAGAGGAATGTCTGGAGGCTGCCAATGGTCAGGCACCAATCTATGCTCAGCTGCTTGCCAAGCTTCTCTTCGTTGACACCATCATGATGTACTTCAAAGATCAGGATACTGCAAAGAGAAACTGGCTTCATGATGCTGTTGACTATCGTTTCCCAACTCTCGACAAACCAACTCATGTTTCGAAATGGAAGAATTGCTCATTCTTCATCAACAAAAACATGCGAGAGGCTGTCATTGCAAGTGGAAGTTCCATGCCAAGAGCTCCATGCGGACCACGTGGACCGATCGGACCAAAAGACAAGTTCAAGAATGACCAAAAAGGCAGTGAAGACGTTTCAACGAATGAAGAGGAAGAGGAAGACGTCGCAGTTGTTCGTACTCCAAAACCAAAACAAACTGCCCGTGTCAATCGAGAATCCTCTTTAGAAGGAATCGACTGGGAATACTTGGATTCTGATTACGAGAAAGAGTGCTATGAGGAATGTCGCGGAGATCAGTACAAGTACGCCGAGTTGATGGCTCTCCGTCTCTTCAGTACCAGCTTGACAATCAAGTTCAAAGAGCAGGATCAAGTGAGAAAGGAATGGCTTCGTGCTTGTGTCGAGGCAAGATTCCCAATTGAAGATCGAGAGCGAAACGATCAGCGATGGAAGATTTGTGGTCAAACGTGTAATCGCAACAGAACTAAAGTTGTGGGCGCAGACGGCCGCGAGGAGAGATACCCGTACTTTGATCAATCAATTGAAGAAGAATGCTTCCGCCAAAGTGATGGGCAGCCATCGTTGTACGCTGAACTGATGAATGCTAAACTGTTCCCCACCACACAACACTTGTTCTTCAAAGACCAAGATCTTGGAAAACGTAATTGGCTTCATACCATCCTTGACAAGAGATTCCCATCCACTGATAAAGTTACCCAAACTTCAAAGTGGAAGGCATGCACAAATGCTATCAACAAGAAGCTCTTCGATGGAACAGTTACTCCAATCACAAAAGAAGCTCTATTTCCAAACGCATCTCTTAAAGTCGAGTTGGATGACTCCAAAGTGGCAGTTCCGGAAACACCAGAAGATACTCCAAGATCATCAGTTGCAAGATTCGAGCGTCGTCGTCTGCCATCAGAGGCTCCTTCTGTTCCTGGAAGTTTGAAGCGGAAAGCAACCGAAGATGTGGAAACACCTGTTATTCCTGCTGCGAAAAGAGAAAGTGTCCGGAATAAACAAAAGAAGGAGAAGGAATTGTATTCAGCATATCCGTATGTTTCCGAAGAAGAAGAGGTTGCGATTCTGGAATCTGCAAATGGAAATCCACAAGTTTATGGTAGAGAGTTGGGAAGAATCTTGTTCGCCGATACAATCAAAAATTACTTCAAGGTATTTAAAGAAAATGTTTCATTTGAAATTTAGTTTCTCTTTTTTAAGGACCAAGACCCCGATAAACGCCAATGGATCCATGAAATTCTCGACTTCCGCTTCCCTTCAAAGAATCAATTGGAGAGCAAGCAAAAATGGAAAAATGTGACTGCAGCCATCAATAGGAACATGACAACGGCCGTGGTTTCCCGTCGTTCTCTGCCCCGTTAACTTTTTTCTCTTCCCCTTTTATTTCCTTCCTTTTATTTCCTTTTCTCATTCTACGGTTTTTTCTCTTACTTCCGAGCTGTTCACCCAAACCCCTTTCTGTGCTTAATGGTATACCATAGGTCTCACAATACCCTTTGCTTTAAGTCTGTTCTGACCAATACTGTCGATTTCACTTGTTTATGTGTCACTACTGCTTCTTCTCTTTTAGATTGTATTGTCCCGACATATTTCAAATATTTATTTGGCTCTTTTTTAGAAGTATGACATAAACTTAGTTCTAATTCAAAGATCTTCCATACTCTCAGAGAGTGCGAATCCATGATAAGGTGCCGGAGAAAGTTTCAAAGGGGCACATGAATTGGATTCGTTTTTTAAGTATCCAAGTTGGCAAACGCATTTGTAACCAGTTGCCGTATTGACACATTCCTGACCAAAGTCTCGACAAAGTGATTGTTTTGTACATGGGTTGTGATGAACACATCGGCCGATATCTGGACGGTAGATGGTTCCGGGTTTCTGAAAAAAATTCAACTAAAAACTAGTATACGAAATGAGGATTTGGAGACAGAAAAATTAGGAATGAAATCCGGAATAAAATTTTATCGGAATCCAGAATCCGGATAACGTAAAAACTCTGATAGGTAGTGCCAGGGAGGAAAACAAATAAGAAACGGCTGTAATATGTAGTTCAGGATTCACCTTTTTGCAAAAATACTTTGGAAACGGTCTCGTTGTCCCGAACTTTTCAAAAATTAATTTTTAAACATTTTTTCGGTTAATTTTCGGAGTTCTCATCCCTGGTACCACCCTCCGATAGGACGCCCCTAAGCCGTCAACTTTGACCCCTTATATCTCGGTTCCTGTGAAAGATATCAAAAAGTGATAAACTGACAAAATGTTTAGTATAATATCAAAATTATTTTGTCAGTTGACCACTTTCTGATATCTTTTACAGGAACCGAGATAAATATGCTCAACGTTAAATGTTTCCGGTACCTCTGATTTCGACTCAAAAAAAATTGTACTTTCTGATACGCTTTTCTAACCCAATGATTACACATTTTGTTTTGAAGAAGAATTTGCTCTATTCTGCCCACGCCTTCATCTCCCCTCGAGCATAAAAACCCACTATCAAGTCTACCATTATTACGTTTATTAGTGTTTTTTACCAGATATGATTATTAATGCTTCTTGAAGTTTCCGCTTATTAGTCTCTTAAAACTTGTGATTTCAAATTTTTGACTCCTTCTCCCTTTCCTTTTTTCTATTTGGAGATCTGGAAACTAGTGAAGGGGTTCATTTTTCGTCTGATAAATTACATTGCGCAGTATTTTTTTTGCCCAAATGTCGTTGTTGTCTTCGTCTTTTCTTTCCGCCTCATTTTCTCCTCGTCTCATCCTAATCCTGCCACTTTATGAATATATTCAGAAACATAGAAGAGTTGCTTCTTATTCTTATTCTCTTCGTTTTCCTTTTTTCTTTCGTCCCCTTTTCAAACAATTTCCCGAAAAAAAAGCACCACTTACGTCACATCCGCAGTTGATGTTGAACTGATTCAGGCGCAGCTTCGATAGATCATCGTTCTCGAAATGCTTCAATCAGAAATGATAAGACAGGTGAGATGAATAGAGTTTTTACCTTCATAAGACAAGTTGATTTCTTTTCACATTGATTCATTTTACAGAGTGGAGCATACTTTGGGGAAGTACGAACCACTGATGGAATTCGGGAACAGCATGGATCAGGGCAAAAGCTGGAACATCGACAGAATCATTTTTCAGGTATGGTGAACTAGTTAGAGAATCGCTATCAGTCGACTTTGTTCTGGGTTACTGTAGCCAATATCATGTTTCAAAATGGTAGAAATACAGTAATACTACAGTATGACTCACCTCTCTGTTGCACATTCGTAAGGGTTTCCAAGAAACTCATCGAGTATGGTCTCACGACTGAAAGTCTTTCCGGCCCATATCTTAAACCAAAGCAATGAGTCACAAGAGTTAAACTTATGGAATAATAATCAAATCTCTAATAGAAGATCCCCCGATCTGCTGGGTGTGAGCTCAAATATCTAAATTCCTATGCATTGATATCAAAAAGTGGCCAACTGATAAAATTTTGGCACTATTGTGATAAACAATTTATCACATTTTTTACAGTAACCCCTTTTTATCTACAGTAATCATTCCTTCTTTCCAAGAAACCACAATAACTTCGAAAAGTACAGTGATCCTTGAAAGTTCAATAACCCATCCTAGACAACAGTAGTCAAAACTACAAAAACAGCAAAAGCTGTAAAGACTACAAACTTATTACAAGTTTCACGGTAGTTGTATTTATTAAAATTTCGGTCATGGTTCATTTGAAAGATTAGGTAAATTTATCTACAGTAACTTACAAAAGGTCTTGAACCAACTGGTTGGATTCGATAAGCGCAATATGGAATGTGCTCGAAAGCCTTGATGCGAGAGTTGGTCAGGTAGCATAAAATCTGAAATTTATGAAACTAATAAGATATCTTGACCATTTAAATTTGGAGCTCCAGGAACACCGTATTTCTTCTAGTAGAAGTACACTCAAACTGTTAACTTTGAGCTCAATTATCATGAATCCTTTAAAGGATATCAAACATTTGTAAACTGGTAAAATATTCATCAGAGTTTTACCAATATTTTTATCAATTGACAATTTTCCGATATCTTTCACAGGAATCGAGATAATTGAGTTCAAAGTTGAAGGAATGGGTTGGCTTCTGGGAGAGAATATAGGTATACTTTAAGGTCAAAAATATTTTCTCATGCGAAGTCTTTTTCAAAGGGTTCAATGCTTTATCATCAACGTTGTTTTTGAATATTCCATCAAGGTCATCTGAGGAATCATTAACTTTGAGGCTTCTCTATGATCGAAACAAACGTCTCGAAAATCAGAAACCGATTGTTCTTGATGTAGCCAACTTCATTATTATACAACCTTTTTCTAGCTAAATGTTCCGATAGCCGCTATCACAGCTAGTTAACGTGTGAAATCTCGTCTCCTCAATTATATGATCACCGTGCGTATCTTCTCTACAAGGCGAATCGGATCTTTTTGACATTTTGTCGTTTCTTTTCATTAGTCAAATCCCGCTTCTTCATTTTCGCCGTTGCCTTTATCTTTTTCTTCTTTTTCTTCTTTTTCTTCTTTTTCTTCTTTTCCTTTTTCTTCTAATTTGTCTTCTTCATTGTCTTCTTTTCCTATTTCATTCCGAAATCCATATGTACCTAGCTTCCGAATAGCTTATACTAGTGCTAAGCCGTTTTGTACTCAATGCCCCCGAAAGGATTCTAATTCCCTACTGTCAACTGAAGACCTTTACAAAGCTCTCCCATTAATATCCTGTCTCGTTTGGCCGCGTGCCATCTCCAGTGTTGGATGGTTCCGAGTGTCTGGCGACACTCCGCACGCTACACACTCTCTCAGCGTCCTCTTCACCCTCCGTGTCCCTTCGGAAATAGGCAAAAAATGAGAAGACGGGTGGCGGCCGTGTTTTTTAGCCCGCCGAGTCGCCGGGTGAATGTTTTTTTGTAAATAAAATAATTTTTCGAATAGGTTCAATTTTTCTCTTTTTCGATCAGTTGATTTTGGCCCTCTTCTTCTTTTTTATGTAGTTCAGAACTGAATTTCTCTCATTAAATGTCCTTTTCCTTCTTCTTATTTATGTTATTATTATTATTATTATTATTATGTGTCTTACATGACTGACCGCCGGGTCGGATTCATTCACTTTACCGACTCATTTTTTGTAAGAATCCTATCGATTAGATATTTTAGAGTTTCACTTTGGATAAGGAAAAGAATAAGAAGAAAGTTTATTTAATTCGTCTTCAAGTTTCATTTTCTACCAATTGGTTTTTTCAAATATACTTGCCAACTTCAAATTTTTTTAAAGATTATCACTAATTCTTCTTATCATGTTTTTGGTCTTCAAAAAGATTTTTTTCTAAATCTAAAACAGAAATTTGTCGTCCCCCGTTTCGCCAAATTTCGTACCATCTATATAGTCAGAAGAAACAAAAATTCCTACTACAAATATATATCGAACATGCGACAAATTGCTTATTTTTTTTCCAGACATGATATAGATGTATTTGAAGTCTAGAATATTTCATTCTTCATGGATTTCCCCCTACCTTTATTTCAAACCTATTCTATTATACTGGCTTGCAAAAATCGGAGCAGTGGAAGAGATAATCTGGTGGCCTCGGCCACGGCCGAACTACCGTAGTTAGCAAGTATTACTCTTGTCCAAAATCAATGCACATTGCGGCCGGGAAAACAACGGTGGGCGGAGCTTAGCTCCCACAGAGAGAACCTTACTGTATTTTTAAAATTATTGTACGCGCCTTTAATACAGTACCTCAACATTTATCGAATTTTCTTAAATTTTTCTCATTTTTCGCTTGTTTCTGTCTAATTTTGTGTAATTCTTATAAATCTTTAACTTATTTTTCTTATAAAATAGAAAAAAAACCGCCAAAAATACAAAACGCCCGAGGTACGGTATTTAAAGGCGCATGCATCAATTTGTTTTTTCGCTGTGCGACCGACGATGCGATTTTGAGTAAATTTTCGGCCGCAACGTGCATTGATTTCGGACGAGAGTAATATTTTTCGACCGTTTTCCGGCAATTTTTTAATTTTCGAAGCATTTTACTTTCTGCCTTGTCTGGAGGTTTTCAACACGGAAATTGTCGAAAAGAATAAAATTGCAAACCTACCGTAAAACCTGTATTAGAAGGGCCCCTTTAATAGAAGGACCCCTTTAATAGAAGGGCCCTCCGAGAGGGGCTTGGAAAAATAGAAGGGCCCCCTGTAATAGAAGGGCCCCCGTAATAGAAGGGCCCCCTGTAATAGAAGGGCCCCCGTAATAGAAGGGCCCCCTGTAATAGAAGGGCCCTCTGTGAAAAACGACTCTCTTCAAAACATTTTGAAATCAGAAAATTGTTGTACTTTTTCAGTGGAAAATATTCCGGGAACTCCACAGTTTGATAGAAATTTGTTGAAACTCCATTTTTCGACTAAAATCTTACTAAATTTTGGTGAAATTCGCAGATTTTCATGAATTTTGAACGAAACTTTGTCAAATTTTTTGATGCAAAATTTCAGAAGGACCAGCCCTTCTAATGCAGTTTTTTCGGTAGTTTATCTTACCTGTGATGCAGATATTTCCATTCCGAGCCGTTGATTGTCGATCATTTTTGTAAGAGAAAGCTCACTGAATATTCTTTTTAGCTCTTTTATCAGTTTTCAGACCCACTCTAGTTCAATGTTGTCCTGCATAATCCACGGTTGGATTTCACTAATATTACTGATAATCGAATCTAAGCAAATTTCGAATCCTTTTTTACACTCTTCCCCGATATTCATATCAAAATCATATTCCGGAGTCGGGTACAAATGTTCGAACCCATTTTCCTCCATCCCCCAAGCTACAAGTTTCTTCAACACTCGAAAATATGTAGCTAGAATTCCGATTTTCACAGAAACTTCATCCACTCTATCCTCAACCATGATTCGCGAGTATTCGCTAAAATGTCGTCGACATTTGGAAGTGAGAGTTGAAAACTTACTCTTTTATGACACTATTAAAGTCAATATTGTAAGATTGCAAGAGCTTCAGAGAAGCTTCATCTTCATCTTCAAAAGACGAAACTAATGTGATACACAGAAAAACGGTGATAAAGAAATTGGGTTTCATTGTGAGCAGAATACGAAAATTAAGTGATCAGTAATGAGTTGATAGAAGTTATGACAAGTGAAGACGTGGATACCCGTGTTTGGTGCGAACAGTGTTGTTGATATTAGACCATGTCCTCCAATTGTTTTGTTACCTGAAATCAGGGAATTTCAACAACTAATCTACAGCAATTAAATTAGTATCGATTACCTTTTCTTCTATCTCTTCTTTCAATGTATCTTGCACCCACGATTTATCGAGCTCGATACGGGTCTGTCGATTTATATCATTTCGCATTCTGAAATTATTCACATTTCCCATGAACTATAATTGTCGATATTTCGAACAAAATAACTTACTGATGATTACTTGATATGTACTCGCGCAGTTTTCGTTGAATCTCTTCTTTTGATATATTCGAGGAACTTTCCATAATCTCATCAACTTTTTGCAGCGTTTCTTTCTAAAAAAGACTAGAATAAGTGTTGACGATTCAGAAAACTATGACACCCTTTCTCGAAATCATACCTCTATTCTTTGAAGTAATTCCGATTCCTTAATATGTTCCGTTGCTTTTTTCCGTAATTTGTCGAATGTGCCTCCCTTTTTCAATTCCATGTCGACTTTTGCTACAATGCTTCTTTCGTCAACGAGACTTCCAGACATTCTTTTGTTTTCTGAAAACCAGCCAACTATGATTAAAGTAATTTATTAACGAAGATATTTCGGAAAATTACAAGAAAATTGATAATTCGTTTGGAAAAAGATCTTGGATGTACAGCTTACAGCGAAAAATGTGCAAAATATGTCAAGTTTTTCGTCAAACCGTAAGATTTCTTTAAAGGCGCAGTACCTGTATGACAATTTCGCTGCGATACTATCATTAATTGATTGTTGGGGGTTGCGCCTTTAAAAGTCTTACGGTCTAGCTCGCAAAAACGGAACCAATTTTTCTTTTTTTTTTTGGAAATAAGTATTTGCCCTTTTTTTTTTTGTTTAAAACCTAATTTTACCGTTTATTAACGCATTACCAAAAAACCAGGGCATACATGTTTTTAAAGAAATTCCAGTTGTTTATATAATTTGTTTCATTTTCCCGGAATTGATCAGACAATTAAATTCTTTCATCGGCTACTTCTATTTAAAAATATGTATCGAAATTCGTTTTTTCTAGTTCATAATGTTTTCTGAAAGATTTGTTTACTCTAGTTGCGCTGAATGCATATCGGTATGTTCTTCTTTTGCTGCCGCCCAGGCAGGTACACGAGAAGTGGTGGCATTAAGGAAAAAAGTAGGCAGCATCAGTAATAGAGGGTGTAGAGAAGCTAGATACCCGCTTGTTCTTCTTTTTCTTCAGCCTAACTGTGGTGGTGGCTGGTGTATGTATGTATGTATGCGTCTCCCTGTGAGTCTCTGTGAAAAGGACTAGTGTGTGAGTGGGAAAGAAGAGGCACGCACGAACAGCAATAATACATTGTAGCAGACAGCCAGCGTCGTGCTGAGATAGTGTGGTAGAAGTGGAGGTCAGGGACCGTGCCTCCCCAGTATGTGCAGTGTCTCGTCGCGTATACACACTTGCTTTAAAATCAATTTTCCTCCTCGCTATTGCAATACAAAACGGTGTGCCTGTGTGTCTCTATGCGTGTATGTATTTCTCTCTGACGCCATCACACCCATAGAAGCTTTCACGCTTCCTCGACTATGACGCCGCTGGCGATGATGATGATGACGATATCTTTGGGGCGTGCAGAGTTTTTTTTTCCCGTCGCGCGAGCTCTAGAGAAGTGACCTTTAATCCACCATTTAGTGTGGTGGGGGAGTATGGGGGGAAAAGGCGTAAGGAGCAGCCATTAGAAGTGTAGTATCAAAACTCCCCGAACTACCCGTCATGTTGCAGTCTGTCAAAGCATATGACCTTGTGGCATTCGTTCACTGCGTCTCTCGATCAATACCCTACCCGTGTCTGTGTGTGTCTGTTTCGCGGCCGGCGTTGCCTTTTATTCTCCCCTCTTACTAACTTTCATCCTATCTCCATCTTTCCAATTGATGTAGTGCATCTCTCTTTTCAATGAGAAATCGCCCAATTTTCTTCACAGGAGCATATAATATTGAAAAATTCAAAGAATATAATAATCATAAATTTCAGTTTCACCAAAAACGAGATCGCCGCTGGTGCAGCAACACTGAGGCGACCGAAGAAATAAGATAATGATTCGGAAACAATAATGTCTTAGTAAGTACAAATTTCATTTTGGGTGGGGGATCAGTTTCAGAGATGGTCTGGCATCTAGCAGCGCCACCCTGTCTCCATCCACACCGCTCCGTGTGTCTTTTATATGCACGTTCGTTTGGCCACGCCCCCCGAGTATGAACTTGTGGACGCCCCGCCCACGGTCTCCCTCCCCGCGTCCCTTGTCTCGCCGCCTCTCTTAGCGGGGCAGGAGGAGCGAGGAGGAGATGCAGACTGAAAAACGTTTTTGACATTGCCCAGCAGCGATGTGGGCGGAGTCTCAGGGGGTGCTGTCTCCATTTCATTCCACCATCGGAAAGCTGGTTGAAATAACGTCTAACTGGTTTTCAGCGAGGATGAGTGGTTCTCATATACACAGACCGACGAGTTCAACAGACCAGGCCGCAGTCCAGGAGCCGGTGGTGCTTACTATGAGCCAGGCAACATCGATGTAAGTCACTTTCATTCTTCAATAACGATAAATGTGCTCAAAGCTATTAGAAAAATAATTATATTCAATTCGGAAGTTAGCAGATTTTCAAAATTTCCAATTCAGAACATCCCCCTCGCCGATGAACCTCTGTTATCACCTGGTCAGGGGCTGGAGTTCGACCTAGCCGGCCCTATTGATGATTATGGTTACGACCAGCTGGGGTTAACACCGAATGGAGGACCGAATGGGCATCATCAGCAGCCTGGGACCAGCAACGATATGTATCAGAGTATGAACATCGTGCCAAGCGCCGACAATTTTGCTCAACATATGCAACCGTCCACAAGTGATGTAAGGGATTTTTTTCATAAATTGTTTTATGTATTTTAACTTTAGGAATACAACTCGTTCGAAATGCCAACGGTGATAAGCGGAAATATGGATTCTAATTCATATCAGGACCTCGGAATAGTGGATCCGAATTCATACTACGCTGTAAGTTTTCAAAAACAAATTTATTCGGAGAAAAATTTAAAAAAACAGTATGAGGCCCAAGATATTTCATTAAAAGTTGCTAAAACTGTTGATAAAAAATGAATTTAAAAACATCTTTTCAATAAATAGTTTTTCAGAATCAACAGCCGTCAACTTCGCAAGGAAACGGGATGCTGATGACAGATAGCTATGATATGGTGGGACCATCAACATCGTATGCGCCACAAATGGATCATATGGATCCATCTTCGGTCGGGAACCCATCGTCACATTCTGGAATGAATCAGCAACAACATCAGAGTATGAACAGTGGTCAACAAATGCAGCAGCCGCCACCACCGCCAAAACCCAAGCCTAAAAAAAAAGCGCCACCCAAGAAGAAACCGCAGCGTTAGTTTTCTAATATTCCATTGGTTGAAAAACTGCTCATCTCTCAATTTCTAGCTCCTGCAGAAACAACGGTTGGTAGTCTTCTCACAAAAGCTAACAAACTATCACAACAGGAAAACAACAACGAAAATCAAGCTGTGAAAGTTGAAGCACGAGTGACAACAGAAGATATGATGATTGTGAGTTTATTTATACAAAAACAATATGCCAACAATGAGTGTTTTTAGATAAGTCAGCTGATGGCTGAGATCAACACTTTGAGGAATAAAGAGCAAAACGGTTATGACCACAAAGAAGGCATCGCTACCCTTGAAGCCCAAATCGCCCATCTTTTTTCCAAAGGTCTGACACAATCTTCATCGAATGATTCGGCGGAGAACACTATTCTCAAACAAATCCAGAGTTTGTCTGGAAACGGTGCTCCTTCTACACAGCAGCAACCACAACAACAACAGCAGCAGCTTCCACCGCCTCCACCACAGTCTAAGAAGCCGGCGTCAAAAAAGAAGCCAACTCCAAGGCCCGTTCAACAACAGATGCAACATCCACCCCAGCAACAACAATCGCCGATGATTGCGCAAGCTCAAATGACCCCCTCTAAAATAATGATGGAACCTCCAAGCACGACAATGGTACCGAGTAATAACCAGATGAATCAGATGTATAATGGTAACGGATCGGAAAATTATGCAGTGTATCAGTCGATGGAACCCGGAACGAGTCAGCAGCAGTATAATGATTTTCAACAACCACAATCCCATGAAGCTATGCTACAGCACCATCAGAATCAGGGCCATCCGCAAGTTATTCAAGCCAAAGTAGTGCCATCTATGAACCAGAGGACACATAATTATCGGCAGGCAGTGATTTTTCCGTCGCATAATAAAAATGGACCAGGCCCTTCGCCTCAGCCTCTATCCCATGAAAGCCATCACATGGATCAGATTCATGATCAACAATACCATCCTCACGACCATCAGCGGCCCCAATCACAACAGATGTATGTACCAGAAACACCATATCAGACGCAGGAAGGAGGGGCGACGCTAGGTGACGTTATTCGGCAGAGGCACGGAAGGTATCAGGGACCCCAGGATGCTCCACATCTACGTCAACAATTGATCAGTAATGTGAATGCGTCTACGAATAAACAGATGCTTCAAAGAAGTCAGGCTCCGACACCTTCACCTGGTAACTTTCACAACAACAACATGCATCAACCTCCGTATGGGGAATCGTATCAACCTCATGGAAGTTACCCAGCTAGTCATGATATGCAGCCCCATTCTCACTCACATCACGGGTATGATTCTCAGCTTGAAGCGTCCAACGACTTCTATGACGACCCCATCTCCCAACAGCAAAATGAAAATTCAACTATGTTGGTGCATCCCGATTCTCAACAACGTCAACAGTATGAACAACGGGAGATGTACATTGTGATGGGTAACCAGGAGCAATTGGTAGAACCAGATCCCGACTCAGTTCCGGTTGTAGAATCTCCACCACCAGAAGCGTCACTCATATTGTCAAAAGAAGAACTGTTGGAAAAACTAACAGAAAGGCAAGATGTTCGAGAGGAAGCGATGAAAAATATGTTGGACGAGCAAATGAAATGTTTGAATGATCCTGATGTAACACCGTTCAGAGGGAAAACTGACATTTTCGAAAGATTGCTTCCGTATCATCACTTTTCTGTTGGTGAAGAGCCAGTATCTGATTGTAAGTTTTATTTTCTAAGACGAATTGAAAATACCTCCAATTTTTCAGTCGATTCAATGTATGAGAAAACTATTACGAATACTTTTTCTCAAGCAGATGCTCTCGGCAGAAAGGTTCGAAACGCTCTTTTACGTAATGAGGCGAAAAGAGGTACGGAATGGGAAGAAAACTTGTATTTGTTTCTTGACACTGAGTCGGAACGTCGAAAGCTGGAAGAAGATCGTCGATTGGCGGAGCTGGACCCTTATACATTCGTGCAGAACAGCGATATAGTTCAAGCAGTGAAAAGTAATCGGCTGGATATTGAGTTGTCGATACGATCAGCGCCGCAGATGCCAGAACATTTGAAAGGTAATTGCTATCTTATTAATGCCGCAGGATAAGTATCATGATTTCTTTCAGGGCAAGAATTGGAAGATGGCGCGCTCACGGCTGTGTACAAAGAATATGAATTCGATTCTTACGATGAAAATCGTCCTCGCAGCTCTCCGTTCGTTGGTGAACTAGAATTGGAAGATGATACAGGAGTAGAACCAGAAACGGAAGATGAGACAGGAATAGAACCAGAATTAGAAGAGCAGGAAGGCGAAGCATCTCCTGAGCAATCACCTAACGACCAAATCGCTCAATTTTTCCCTATTCCATCTCCGAATCGATTCAGAGATGAGAGTCAAAGCCCATTGGATTGGAGAGATGATCACGAATCACCAATGCTTTCTCCAGAGACGGTCCAATTTCCGACAACGTCTAGCAGAGGTATTGAAAAAGTGGATGTTTTTCCATATGGACAATTACCTGAAACGGCTCGGAAAGATCTTCAACCACATACTTCTGAATCTCTAGGATCGAGTGATCAGTCAAGTTCGTCGGAAGGAACCCCGGAAGTTTCTCAGTCGCATGACGTCCGCACACCACCACCGCCAGTACCTTCTACAAGTTCAAAGCCTGAAACATCATCGTCCGAGTGTATACCTATTACTTCGACTTCTTCGATCACCCCCGTTGCGTCACGAAGCCGGCGTCCAGATAGTGATGAAGGTTCCCCTGAAATAGACGATGATTTTTCAATGTCTCCAGTTGAGAAGCGCATTCCAGTTGAAGATATTCCTCCAATACCACTTCCTGTTCCCGTTCACATGATCAAGCAAGAAAAAGAGGATACCATTCCAAAGCTCAAATTACGAGTTTCTGTGGCAGTACTCCAAAAAGGAATCGAAATGGCTGCGAGTGAAGATGACGATGACATCCAAGAGATAAAGCGAAAACCAATTAAGGTAAAATTGAGCTTGAGAGATATCAAGAGGGAAGAGCCGTCGCCCGATCGGGAAGTGTCGAGAAATGTGAATCCAGCTAGACCGGCGCCGACAACGAAGTCAACGATTCCTGTAGAATCTGCCCCGCAAGATACATCAACACCTACCCAGAAGCCTCTCTTCAAAACTCCTCTTCCAACTCCATTGAAAACAACGGAGTCGAGAAAAAGAAAACGAAGTGATAAAATTGAAGGAACGCCAAAAGAGAAGAAATCAGATCAAGCTCCAAGCAATTTTGTAACTCCGAAAAATGGATTGATTCCTGAACAAGATGTGGGAACAGAAAGGTTTTTGAAAACTATGACTGTTGGTCGAAGGATCATAATGAAGATCGGCAAAATTCCGAACAACATCAATCATTTCGTCACACCAAGAAGAGACGGCAAAGGAAACATGCACAAGGATATCAGAGCTACAGAACACACTCGTTTGAAGATGAGGTTATACAAGAAGAATGGTCAACTGGCTGTCGAAGTCACTGAACGTAATCCCGAAGAATTGAAAAAGAAAGACGATGAACCTTCAACATCAGGAGGTCCCAGCGGCAGCGGTTCTATAGTGCCTACTCCAACAATTCCAACTACCGCTGTGAAAGCAAGACCCGCCCCAGCCTCGCGAAAGGGATCGATTGACATCGCTGGGAAAGACAAAAAATCGAGTACCATCAAAAGCAAAAACACCTTCAGTAATCGTTTCAATCCGTTCGCTACGGCCTCGAAGCCCAAACCCCTCACGATTTCCGTTCCAACGCCTGCTCCGTCGGTTAGTGGAGTTATGAAATTCAACACACCAGCTGGCTCATCATCTTCTGTTGTCCCTTCATCAGCAAAACCATCAGCTGCTTCTGTAGCCCCCACGACGAATGTTCAAACAACGGTTCGACAGCAACAACCTGTCTCCTCAATTCAGAATTTGATAAAAACAACTCCGATCGTTCCAAATATTACTGTTACAAATTCTAACACCTGCGGAGATCTTCCGAAGCCGAAGCCACCAGTTGAAACGACGATGAACTCTCTGCTACCGTGGATGTTCGATAGAGTTGAAACTGTTGAGAAACCAAAGATCGTCAAAACGCCTCAGCCGACTTCGTCATCAGTTCCATCGAGTGCTTCAACAAAAGATCTTCTTCATGTGAGAACTGAACCAGTAGAAGGCGTTGCTGTGACAGCACAGGTAAGAACATTTTTTATAAGTGTGATCTGAAAATGTTTGCTTTCTAGGAGTCTCCTCGCGCATCTTCATCTCTATCCATGTCGTTTTTCGAAGATGACAAGTCGAATGGCTACCATTTTCTAAATTCACCAAAGCGGACGAGTGAGCCATTGCCAGCTATTTCGTTTTCCGGTAAGTGATTTTGCTTGATCATTTTATATATTAATGAACTTTACATAAAAAATATTCATACAAGTTATCATTACAGACGATGATGACGATGATGTTCATAACACTTTCCAACACGCCACGGATCACATGAAAAGCAAACTGAAAAAACCGGTCAACGGAGCCGCGCCTATTCTTCCCTGGTCAACTGATCCCTAAAATCCAAGTGCCATTAAATTTTTATGGCTGGTCCATAAACTAACCCTCATTTTAGACTGTGAATTCGCCTTCTCATTCCCTCGTCATTGAGCCCGTTGCCTTTTAGGATATTTATGTACTTACCGTTTTTTTTTCTTTTTTATTATCATTTATGGTCCTCATTTCTCCCCCATGGTGCTCTTTTGTTTTTAATTTTCTCCTTTCAAACACATCCTGCTCTTGATTTCATTGAAAAATCGGTCTCGACACGTACACCGCGCCTTTTCCCTTACATACTTTCGTTTCTCTCTTTTATAGTCAATTCACTTGTTCAGATTTCTCATTGAACTCACCAGAATTTTACAACCTTACTCACACATCTACATTCCAATTTTTTAAATTCTAACATTTTATTTTACATTGTTATACTCTAGTGAGTTCGACTTGATAACTGTGATCAACGCGGGTATGAGATCTATTTTCCAATTGTTATCACCTTCACTTATACCCTCTTTGAATACTCGTGTTATTGTTTAGTAGCTCTAGTTCATTCACAGACCTATATTAAATTGTTTATACTTAAAATTCTTGTATACTGGTGTTACAAAATTAACTTATAGCCTCCATTTTTTATCAGCTCTCACAAACCATCCATCTTTCATTCACCTCTCACTCACTATGATTCCAAAGTTAAATGAATAGATTTTATTATTTTGTAAGCTTTATCAAAGTTCATCAAATATTGCGGATTAAAAAAGGTGACACCTGAAAATCTCGGAGACGGCGCTCGTGTCGATTTACGAGGGGGCGGAGCGAAAACGGGTACTGTAGGTAAAAAATTTATTTATGTGAATTTAGTGGGATTTTCTGAACAAAATTTTGACTTCTTGGTATAAAAATGATCGCTAGCATCTCTAGAATCTATTTTTCAGCAAAAAACTAAACTCAAACGCGAAAGTAGCTCGAACAAGCCGAAATTCTGAAATATTACGTTTTTGCTGCACTTTTTCGTACATCAAAAAAGCAAAAGTTTTCAAATTCTCAGGTCACTTTTTTTAAATTCGTCAAAAGTGTAGGAAGAATACTCGAATACAGATATCACGGAGTCGCAGAGTGTGCGGTTTTTCGAACGCTCTCTGCTGAGAAACAAGGGGACACGTTTAAAAACAATTTTTTGTCCCGTTTTCTAATTGAAAGTTGTAAATTAAAAAAGACGACTTTTTTCAAATAGCATGAGGAATATTAGAAAGTTATTGTTGTTGCTGCTGTGTAGAAGGAGCACCGTTTCGAAACAAACTCTGGATTTGTTTGAGAATAGTGTTCTCCGCCGAATCATTCGATGAAGATTGTGTCAGACCTTTGGCAAAAAGATGGGCGATTTGGGCTTCAAGGGTAGCGATGCCTTCTTTGTGGTCATAACCGTTTTGCTCTTTATTCCTCAAAGTGTTGATCTCAGCCATCAGCTGACTTATCTTAAAACACTCATTGTGGCATATTTTCTATATATTAGGGAAATACTTTTCACAAAGCTCGCGCTCTACCGCACCGCCCAGATGGCCGAGTTTGGTTGGCTGGCGGCGATATTTTAATTTTAAAACGATTTTTGATCTATTTTCTTCAATAAAACTACATCTCCACTTGGGTTCAAGCGAGGGGGTCAGAAAGCGCGCCCCAGTAAATTTTTCAAAAATTCTCAATTCGCTGCCGAACTTTGTTGGCTGAGTATCAGTTTTAAAGGATGAGCGAGAATACGCGCGTTGCAACCCATTGATTTTTAAGAAAGAGATCATGATCTAGTTCAAACCCGTGTTCATTTTAAAATTATTAAATTTCTTCTGGCGTACGAGTTTGCTGGGGCGCTTCTTCTAACCCCCTCG